ATTAGGAGAAGGCGATATGAGGATGGAGGCAGAAACTGAAGTAACATGGTTTCAAGCAAAAGAACGTCATGTTCACAAACTAGAAGAAGCAGAGAATGACTTCTCTGGCACAGTGTCCAAGGTGAGGACAGCCATACCAATATCCATCTTTGAGTGGGTGGTGTGGCGGGGGAAGAGGTTATTGAAGATTGAAACCAGGGGCATTTTACCACTGAACTGTATCTCCAGTCTTTTTTATTTTTTGAGACAGGGTCTCACTATGTTGTTGAGGCTGGTCTAAGCTCACAGCCCTCCTGCCTTGGCCTCCCAAACTGCTGGGATTATAGGAATGAGCCACCACACCTGACCCATCTTGACTARGGTGCAGTGAAACTGGTTTTGGACTTCTTGTCTCCAGAACTAAAGAAGAATAAATTTTTGTTAGTAATTTTCTTATAACATCCAAAAGAAAGTAATAAAAGAAGTGACTACTTAATAATGGTCTTTTAGATTGAAAAAATGTTTTAGAATTAGATACTGTTGATGGCTGACCTCTATACAGTGAATCTTACAGGACATTATCTCTTGATTAAAGGAAAACATGTCTAGCAATAAACTGGTGTGACCCCACGACCCAACAACTGATAGTAAATTTTCAAAGCTCCCTCGAAGACCCCATTCATAACATAGGTAATTAAGATTATAGTAATGATGCAAGCCAATCTAGCCAACAAATATACTTAAGCTAGTATCAAGTAGCGTCAATTCATAAATCTGCATTCCACCTGGAATAGTTATATTTCGCAGAGTAAACAACCTATTATAAAGGACTTGGAGGACCAAATTAGTTATGAGTAGGGTTACCATATATCTTGGTTTGACTATATGAGTCCCAGTTTAACCTGTTTTGTATATATTTTAATAATCCCATTTTTCTTTTTTTTTAATATTTTATTTTACTTTTTCTTTAATTTTTTAATATTTATTTTTTAGTTTTCGGCGGACACAACATCTTTGTATGTGGTGCTGAGGATCGAACCCGGGCCTCACACATGCCAGGCGAGCGCACTACCGCTTAAGCCACATCCCCAACCCCATAATCCCTTTTTCATTCATTTTTTAAAAGTATATCTGTTTAGATAATAAATTCAACTTAGTTATAGAGATTCTGGAGATTGTAAAATTCATGAAAGCACATTCCACACAGATGCCAGATGGGCCCTGTCATGAATCCCTATGTATCTTTTAGCTCTCTACTACTGGGAAGCCCCCACGCAGAAAAATACTAGTAAGACTTCTTGGGAGTATCCACATTTTTTTCCCCCAAACTTACATAATACCATTAGGAAGTCAAAAGTTGAAAGTTATTATTTTTTGACATACTGAACTGATCTTAAGGCAATACTCCTGCTTTAGAATTCCCGATCAAAACACAGAAAGGAGGGAGAGATGGGGAATTTTTTTATTTTTTTCTTAAAGAATTTAGGAAGAAATTGTTACTCTATGGAAGGAGATCATAATGGATTCTGTGTGTGGTTAAGCATATAAAGTCAGGGACTGGAGACGCAGCTCTGTGGTAGATGGCTTGCCTATCATGTGTGAAGCTCTGGGTTCAATCTTTAGTACTGAGAAAAAAAAAACTGACATAAGTTTGGTAATGTTTGATGTTCACTGCTTTATGGTGAACCATCATTATAAAATGTATTGAATCAGTAGAATTAAAACATATTCCTGTCTAAAAGACCGAGAAACAGAAATAATACAAACAATGATACAAAGCATTTAGTTTTGATAAGTCTCTTGACCAAAGAGAAAAGGTGGAGGGAAGAATCAAGGTGGTGTTTAAGAGAATCGAAGTACATCATTCATTCAACTAAAATTTGGTGAGCTGATTAACAGTCAAGAGCTAGTATAAAAATGTATCAGTAATCCAAACAAAAACCCTCTCTTCAGGGAGCTAATTTTCTGTTAGAATTAATCAGTAAATAATAATTTTTTTAAAAAGATGGTTATCGGGCTGGGGATGTGGCTCAAGCGGTAGTGCGCTCGCCTGGCATGCGTGCGGCCCGGGTTCGATCCTCAGCACCACATACCAACAAAGATGTTGTGTCCGCCAAGAACTAAAAAATAAATATTAAAAATTCTCTCTCTCTCTCTCTCTCTTCTCTCACTCTCTCTTTAAAAAAAAAAAAAAAAAAAAAGATGGTTATCTATATGCTAGTGAGAAAAAGTAGGAAATGAAGGCAGGTTGATATTTATAGGACATGGTTAGGAGTATTTGGGAAACAGTATTCTAGAAAAGGAAAACAACACAAAGGCTAAGAAGGAGTACTTAACACATGTTAAGAACTGGTCAAGAAGATAACAGGCAAGCCAATTATAAGGGAGACAAGGTAAGAGATGAGGCTTTTTAAATGTGCATTTGTGGTCAWTGACAATTATAGGAAGTCAGATCATATGGGCCATTCTAAGTTCTCTGGCTTTTACTGAGTGTGATGAGAGACTGCTGAGATTTTTAATGGTGTGACTTTCATTTCAACAGGATTGTTCTGGCTGGTGTATGGAGAAAAGACTTTAGAGAATAACAGTGGAAACAGAACACAAGAAGCGGCTGAAATAAAACAGACAAAAGATAATAATAGTAACAGGATGGAGAAATAAAGATACTAAGGAGTCAAGATTCTAGATTAAATCTTGAAGGGTCACAGATTTGTCTGATAGACTGCACATGAGACATGAAAGACAGGACATATAAGTGATGATGTTGTGCCAGCAAATCTATTAGCAGAATTCAGAGAGATATGGAGAAGACATCCAAATTTTGGAATCTTCAATCTGTAGCATTATCTAAAACACAAGTCTGATGACATAACCCAGGGGAAGAGTCTAAAATCCAAATCCTGAAGTATTCCACTTTTAGAGGTCATAAAGAAAGAACAGCAAAGGAGATCAAGAAGCAGTTAATAACCAACTGGGTAGGAGATGAATCAAAAATGTGAAGCATCCAGAATTCAAATAAAAAAATTTTTTTAGGAAGGAGGAAATGAATCTGATAAATGCTGCAGGTAGATCAAATAAATCAACTAAAACTAACCACTGGATTAAGCAATGTGGAATTCATTGATGACCTACACAAGAGTGGGTTAAAGAGAGAATTGGAGGGCCAGATTCTGTGACACGCCTGTAATCCCAGTTCAAAGCTAGTCTCTGCAAAATCGAGTCACTAAGCAACTCAGTGAGACCCTGTCTCTAAAATATAAAATAACATTGGGGATATGGCTGGTGTCGAGCACCCCTTAATTCAATCCCCTCGAGGTACCACCGCCCCCCTGCCAAAAAAGATTGGGAGAATAGAAAATACAGACAACCTGAAATTTTCCTAAAAAGGAAAATTTACTTTCTTATGGACAAGCAAATATGAAATAAAATAAAGGGGAACATAGCATCAAACAACAGATTCCCAAGGAGAAGTGACAGTAAAATCAGTATGTTTGCTATTAAAATTATCGAAAGCAACAGAAAACTTAACCCAAGAAAAAGAGGAGACTTGTTGGAACAATATGCTGAATAAATAAGTACACAAGTCTTTGTTTCATCCATTGTAACAAAATGCCAGAAATCATATGGAGAACAACTGGAATGGTGGATAAACAGGTACAAGAGCCAGCCTCTCTCATGGCCCCAGGTGAACCCCACCTCCTGGTATTCACACTGTTCTGCAGCCCTTTCACACAATGTAAAAGGTTGGCCTGTGCAGAAAACACACAAAGAAGAAATGATGGGGCTGGGGATGTGGCTCAAGCGGTAGAACACTCACCTGGCAAGCGTGAGGCCCAGGTTCGATCCTCAGTACCACATACAAACAAAGAAGTTGTGTCTGCTGAAAACTAAAAAATAAATATTAAAAAATTCTCTAAAAAAAAAAAGTTAAAAAAAAGAAGAAATTATATGTCTCTTCAGATATTAAGTTATAAAAAAGACACTGCTTCATCTTAGGTACAAGCTCTCCCAAATTAACTCACTCTAAGGGAAGCCAACTGGTATGACATAAGCAGCCCCATGGACAGGTCCAATCAGTAACTGAGGCCTCTTGCCAAGTAAGAGATTAGAAGCAGTTCATCTAATTCTAGTCAAGCCTTCAGAGACTGCCAATCTAGTCAAAAGTTTAACTGTAGCCTCATGAGAGCCTAAGCCAGAATTGCCAGCTAAGCCACTTTTGGATTCCAAACATTCAGAAATTATTATGTAATAAAAATGTGTTATTTTAAGCAACTAGGTTTTGAGATGGTTTGTTAAAATAGATAACTAGCTAATACGAGTTGAATTCATAAATCTGTGGGCACAGAATTTACCTATTATCTTGCCTACTGACCTGGAAAAAAGTCTGTTAACCTCCCCTGTCAAGTCACATACAATTTACCTAATGAAATACAGTCTTTAAGAAAAAGAGTATAAGTGAGTTTGGTGGCACATGCCTATAATTCCAGCTAGTTGGGAAGTTGAGGTAGGAGAATCACAAGTTCCTGGCCAGAGTTAAATCCTAACTCAATACAAAAATAAAAAGAATGGGCAATGTAGCTCAGGGATAGAACAACCCTATTCAATCCCCAGTACAATTAAAAAAAAAAAAAATTAAAAAGTATAGTAATGAACAAGTTAACTCCACTTTAACAAATAAAAAATTTTCCCTAAATGACCCATTTTAATGCATTAGCTGAAATCTTAGGGTATGTGTACCAACCCATGTTAGCCTCACAACATAAGTCAGCCTTACATAGCTCTAACTCTCTATGGTGCTTACTTTTTCAAGAAATGAAGTGAAAGAATGCTGCAGCCACCACATTCTCCTTTAAGAAAGCAATTTAGAGGGCTCCAGAATATTTAAATCAACAATCGCCTCAATTTATCATATACATTCAGATTCCCTCAAGAAATTTTAAACAGTAAGTTTTAGCACAGGAGAGAATGAAAAGGAAAATTTAATTGAGAAAAGAAACAACCTTGGTCCTTATGATACATACTTCTCTCTTACCTCAAATGTACACTGAAACTTTTTAAGAACTTGAATCGTCCAAGGAGAAGGTCACATCCTTAAGGCAACCAAAGAGAAGGATTAAGGTTACTTCCATGTTTCAAGGATATTTAATATCCTGTTGCCGACTTAAGATTGCCATTTAGATGTTTATTAACCATCTCATATCTAATCAGAAAAGAGAATTCAATTACTTTCCCCAAAATCTATTCCTCCTGTCTACCTTAACACCCCATCTGTAAACTGCCCAAATTAATAATGGCTCACTGGGATCCAGTGGGCTGCATTAGCCGTCCAGAAGGCCCACAGTAAACAAACAAGAAAAATAAAGAGGCACTGCGATATAGCAAGGAGTCCAATAAATGGAATTTTAAAAAGGTTGAGACACTCTAAGGGTTCAGGGCCTGCAGATATACAGAATGGGGGGTGGGGCTGGAATTACAAACTGGTTTATGATTTTTAAACACCAAAATTAGGCTCCACAAGAGACCACTGCGGGGCAGGGGAGAAAACACAAGGCAGGAGGAGGGTGTACAGGCCCCTTCCTCAGGAGGCCTCGCTGGGCCCGGCACCGGGGTGGGGGAGTTCCGCGGGGTAAGGGGAGACCGACTGAAAGAGGCGCCTAGTCAAGTTAAGGAATGGAATGTGTGAGGCGGCGTGGGGCCCACTGGGTCCCCAGCCCCTCACGCCTTTTGGCGTGAAAAGGCCTCTTGGGCGGCGCAAGGCCACCGGACGCGGTGTCCGAACCTGGGGGGGGCTGCAGCGGTGGATTCTTCCTCCCGTTTCCCCTCAGGGAACGCTCGAGCCGCGCTACTCCACCAGCCTTACCGGCGCTGATCAGTGGCGTCCCCGTGAAGCCGGCCAAGAAACAGCCCCGAACACGCTCCCTGGGCAAAACCCGCAGCCACACCACCTCCTCGGGCCCCAGGGGCCACCACCGCCGCCAACGCCACAGACGTCTCCACACGCGCGCCCAGGGCGACCTGTGATTGGCTGCCAGGTGCGGCGAGCTCGGCTCGGCTCCAGGCGCTACAATTTGATTGGTCACGAAGTGCGGGTTCTGCGCATGCGCGCACTCTGGTGCCCCTGGTGGCTAATGGGCACGTAAGGTCGGGCTGAGGAGTATCAGGCCAAGGTTATGGCTGTAACCCCTGAAGTTCTGGGATCTTGGACCATCCAGGTTCTAAAGCCAGCCAAAGCTCGGCGCTGGGGTTGGGCTCACGGTGCACTCAGAGATAGTTTGCCTTCATTGTCATTATTCCAGGTGTGGTGCCCTTTCTATAAAAGCACTAGCTAACTGTCCCAGGCATAAGAAACTTGACCAAGCAACTGAATCTTGAACCTCATGTTGCATCCGGAGCTAACCTGCCAACTGTGTTAATATAGCTTACAGTGACCTAAAAAGAGATTTTACTATTTTTTTCTAACTGAATGAAAAACAACAAACAATATCATTTTGTGGCATGAGAAAATTATATAAAATCCAATTCATACCTTATACCTCCAGGTATTGTCTGTTTCCTAATAAGACAGAAAAATTTATTAATTGTCAGAGACTATATCAAATATTTACTATCTGGTCCTTTACCAAAACAAGTTTGATGCTGGATACCRTGCTGGTGCACACCTTGTAATCCCAGCAACCCAGGGGTCTGAGGCAGGAGGATGGAAAGTTCAAGGCCAGCCTAGGCAACTTAATGAGACACCTCCTTCCCCTGTTTCAAAAAAATAAAAAGGGCTGGAGATGTAGTACAGTGGAAGCTGTACTTTTGGATTCAATCCCCAGTATTAAGTGGGGGTGGAGTAGTTTGCCCATTCTTTGATCTATTTGCAGGGTTTTATCAGTTCTGCTACAAGTTTATCTATTTCAGTATTTTTTTTGTGTGTGTGTGTATATTTTTGATTTTTTTTTTTGAGAGAGAATATTTTATTTTTTGTAGATGAACACAACACAATGCCTTTATTTTTATRTGGTGCTGAGAATCSAACTGGGTCCCGCCCATGCTAGGCAAGCGCTCTTTCCCTGAGCCACAATCCCAGCCTTGTTTTTGATTTGTTGTTGTTGTTGTTGTTGTTTAATTGGGGAGTGAACCCAGGGATACTCTACCACTGAGCTACATCCTCAGCCCTTCTTAGTTTTAATTTTGAGACAGGATCTAAGTTGCTGAGGCTAGCCTCTCAGTAATCTTTTTTTAAAGGTTTTGGTTTTATTTATGTTACCTTCTCCATTTATTTCTTTCACTCTTATTATTTCCTTCCATCCTCACTCTACAAGGATGTGTTGCTCCTCTTTATAATTTTTTTAGGTAAATGCCTAACTCATTTGTTTGCAAAATCTTTTATTTTCCTAGCATGTAGTGCTGTAAATTTACCTTTACTAATCTAACTGTGTCCCACAATTTTGGTATCATAATATATTAATTTTCCTTCAATTCCAAGGAAGTCCTAATTTCCTTAGTGATTCTCACTTTTTTAACCTAGGAGGTTATAGAGTAATGTTTTAAATTATTTTAAAAATCTACAGGATTTTAAAATACTATCCCTTTAACTGTTCAGTAGAGTATACCATAGTCAAAATGAAGAGATCATAGATGTAGAAGAGATATTTACAATGTTTAAGATGTATGTATGTGAAATTATCTTTTGACTGCACAATAATGCCAGTATTGATCAATAAAGGCTATTATCTAAACTCTGGGCTTCAAATTTCACTAGTTTTTTTTTTTTGTTGTTGTTGTTTTGTTTTGTTTTTTTACTAATACCCTTTTTCTCTTTCTGATTCCCATCCAGGACAATGAATTGCACTAAGTCATCCTGTTTCTTTATCTTTTCCAGGTCTGAGACAGTTTCTCAAACTTTCCTTATTTTTGAAGATCTTGACAACTTTAAGGAGTAAAGGTGAGATACTTTTCAGAATGTATCTCAGTTTGGGTTTGATGCTTTTCTTGTGGTTACACTGGGTTTTTAGAAGAATATGAAAGACATGATGTGCCCTTCTCACCAAATCTTAGGGATACATGCCATCAATGGGACTTGTTGGTTTCTCCTTGGTAAAGTTGCTTTCTTTCCCCTTCATACACTATTCTTTGGAAATTCTGGCTAACTGTCCCAGGCATAAGAAACTTGACCAAGCAACTGAACCTTGTACCTCATGTTTTTGAAGTTGCATCCAGAGCTAGCCTGCCAACTGTGTTGACATAGCTTACAGTGAACTAAGCCATTAAATCCTGCCTATGCCCAGGACAGGGCATGAGGCCTCCTTGAGGGAAGAGTACATACATTACTTGAAGTTCTATTGTAAAAATGATTATTTTAATTTTAAATTAATCAAAAATAAATATTTTTAAATTCAATGCCTCAGTCATAGTAGCCACATTTCTATAGCTCAATATGCCACATGTAGCATATTGGCAAGAGCAGATGCAGAACATTTCCATCATTACAGAAAGTTCTACAGACAGCAGACTTAAATCATTAATTTCTCAACCTTTCTTCTTTCTAAATATAACCATTCTTCAGTGTTCATGGGAAATTGTTTCCAGAACTCCATGCAGATGCCAAAATCTGTGGATGCTCAAGTCACTTATATAAAATGATGTAATATGTGCTTATAACCTAAAAAAAAAAGCTCCTGAATTCTTCATATTATCTCTAAATTTTTTATAATACATATTGCTATGTAAATACTATATTGTCTAGGGAATGATGGTGAAGAAGAAAGTCTCTATGTGTTAAATACAGATGCAATTTTTTAAATATTTATTTTAGTTGTACACAATACCTTTGTTTTTATTTATTTATTTTTATGTGGTGCTAAGGATCGAACTCAGGGCCTCGCATGCTCTAGGCAAGTGCTCTCTACCACTGAACCACAACCCCAGCCCCATACAGATGCAATTTTTTTCCAATATTTTCAATCCAAGGTTGATTGGATCCATGGGTACAGAATCCACATGTACAGAGGGCCAACTGTACATGTATTTAGAGATAAATGTCTATGAATTGCTTTAGTTCCATCGCATAAATTTTGTGATTGTATGCAACATTATTGAGTTCATCATTTTCCCTTTTCCACTGAGATTTCTTAAAGGAGCTCTGGGCTATTTATATTGAGGACCAGGACTAAGGTAAAATAAGCAAGGATCCCAGAGCACAACATTAAGGAGGCACTCACTCACAGGTTCCTAGAACCTGTCACTTTTGCCCATTAGGCTCCTGTTTGCTTCAACCTAGTCCTAGTTCAATTTAGCTGTATTGTCAAATTTCCAGATTTTAGGAGTTTTATAATGATCTTTCTGTCATTAATTTTTAGCTCAATCTCTCTGCAGTCCATGGTAGCTACAAAAAGCCCTACAACTAATATCATAATTAATGGGAAAGTATTGTATCTGAATTTGAGAACAGGGCAAAGATGTTCATGATAACCACTTCAGTACACAAAGACCCTGGAATAGTAAGACAATTTAGAACTCTAAAGCTGAAGAAGTAAACACAGATACACAGACTTACGCAAAGTTACAATAATTAAGACAGGGTAGCATTAGCAYAAAAAGAGAGAACTGAACAAATGGAATAGAACAGTCCAGAAACATACATGCAGTCACCTGATTTATACAAAATATTCCATTGCAACAAAGTGGGGAAGAAGTGGTCTTGAGTAAATGCTTTTGTTGATTTAGATATGCTTCTGAAAAATATTAACCTTGATCCTATGTTTTATCATATCATAATAATTCATTTGAGATTGCTCATAACTACATGTTAAAGGCTAAAGAGATACATTTCTAAAAGAAAACATAGGAGGAATATCTTTATGTCCTTGATAGTAATTTCCTTAATATACAGGAAGGGCAAATCCTGATATACATATTATATCTTTGAAACCAACATACAGATCAAGATATGGAATATATGTAGTGTTCTAGCAGTTTACTTATACCTTACCAAGTGAAAAACAGAACAGTTTTTAAAAGGTAAGAGAGAATAAGACTTGAAGAATATCTAAGTTATAAACCACATGAAAAATATATTTTCAAGATCATTACTCATCAAGATGCAAATTGAAGCTACAATGTGATACTACAACTTCAAGAAATGGGCAATAGTTAAAAAGACTGAAAGGATCAAATGTTGGATCTGTGGAATTATCAGTATTGATGATGGTAATATAAATTGTTTCATTCACTTTTTAAAGTATTTGACCATATTTACACTAAAAAAAGCTGAATATGTGCAATTCCAGCACTATATCGAAAACAAAGAACTACCCATGTCTTCCAGAAAATATACACAAGCTCATAGCAGCTTTATTCAAAATAGTTGAAGAATCAACCACAAAGTCCATCGACTATAAAGTGGATATATAAGACTGTGTCAATTTTATTTAATGGAATTCTACCCAGAAATGAAAAACAGCATGCTACTATTATATATAGCAAGCATGCATTTCACTTTTCAAAAATAAGCCAAAGGCAAGAATTTATTGTATGAATCCATTTATTTAAAATTCGTAAGTAGAAAAAACTATAATGGTAGAGGTCAGAGTAGTGGTTACTTTTGTAGAGAGGTTTGAGTGGGAAAGGGCATGAAGATTTCTGAGATACTTCTTGACAGTAAGAAGGTAAAGATGTCACGGTAAAACCTGACAGTTGATCACATTACTGGTTAGCATCAGCCACAATGTACAGCTTCAGTTCTACCTTTCACAATTCCTGAAAGTGGGTAGAATGTTTTTAGCCAGAATCCTGGCTGTAGGTACAGAATATCTAGTGTTTACTGACTTCCTCTTTTTAGTTTTCAAAGATGACAGGCAAGGATCAGTGTTGCTCACAATAATGAATGTTTGTACTTCTTCATGGGTGAGTTGAAGTCTGAATAATAACCTTTGTTCCAGGAGGCAATCCCTCCAGTGGTACTGGCTTTTTAAATGTTTGATGATTCTTGGTTTTGTGCTCTATTTCCTCCTTCGAAGTCAA